GAACAAAGGGTATCTTTCGAGTCACATCCCGAATATTCAAAATTGGCCGGAATTACTTTCAATGATCTCCCTCGGAAATATTCTTATCCTTGCTAAAGCCCTCGACATCAGGACATATGCGGAGGACTCCTTGGTGCCACCCGAGGAACTGGCGGAATGGAACACCGCTTTCACTTATGTCATTGAATTTCGAGATTGGTGTGTAGCGCGTTATGAAATGGCTGATGTCAACTCCAGCTTGGAACAAGCTTTCGATGTAAGCCAAACTTATGATTTTCGTCCCCTTTGAAGGTGCTGAGAAATATCAGGAAACTCTTCTCGATGCTGCGGTCGTCATTACCGCTCACGCACGGCAACTCACCGTCAAACCGCCGCCGTTGCTTCGTGCTGGTTGGACTATGCTAAGGTTCATCCAAGAAATAGCCATTTCTCTGGGAAGATATAGCGAAGGCAGGGCCTGCCTCGATATCCCACGGAACTCCCTACAGGACGCATACCTCTTAAATCTTAAACAAGATGGGACACCTCGAGTCACACACTGGATCCCTCTCCGAGACTCGGTGATCACTATCGCTCCCAAGTCATGAAGGAGGAAAAGCATGCAGTAGATACTATTTAGCCCAATGAGAATTGCGAATCTTTCTTCGTCAACACCGTTCTCGCCTATACCTTCCCCTCTCCTCGTCGAACTCCTCATACGCGTCACTCTCTGCAATGTACCCCTCGTATCGTCAACGTCACTGTCCGCAGCCGGAGATTTCGATCTCGGTGCTTCGATTTCGGAGTTCTCAAAGCAGACCTGATACCACTGGCATTACTGCTGCCAGAGACCCAGTGCCAGTCATTCCGCTCAGATTTTGAAAGGCCCAAGTACGTTGGCCGTGCAGTCGACTTCATGGATTCTGCTCAACCACCTGACAGGAAGACGACCTGCTAGCATGAATCCGATGTACAATACAGGTGAATTTGAATATAGGTCGAGAAGCTAAGCTATAGTCAACGGCAAAATCGAACAACAGATGTCAATTGAGGCGCCGAATTGGAAGCCATTTTCGAGCGGCGGTACGACATGGCAGTTTGAATGTAGGTTAGCACTAACACCGCGAAAAGAATTAATCAAGATCAAACCTGAACGAAAATGTGAGACGTACCAGTTTTCGTTGAATTAGGAGCCGTCCTTAGGTGGGTCGACCCTGAATAATACATAAACAATCAGTGAATGATCAATGCCGTGGAAAGAATGTACAGCAGTGTCCTTGATCAGTCGAATCCTCGAATACAATGAATGCACGGAGACGATAGAGCAACGATAACTCACTGCCCAGCGTCCCATCAGCCTTCTTTGCCTGCCACCACTTCCCTTCTTGATCCTCGATCTCAAGCACCTCTCGCCCTTGCTGAACGACAACTCGTTAGGGTCTTGCGGAGGGCCTCTATCTGCGTTAAACAAGCATTAACAGTTGCGATACAAAAAGAAGAGGGACATACATGGAATCTGAACGGGCAGAAACAGAACATACCTTGAATTTCAACCAAATCAATTGAACAGGCGCTATCAACGATTGAGTTAGCAACGACACTGACGATTAACCAAATGGGAATCAGTGAACGAAAACGAACCAGATGGTGAAACTGAAATGATCCATGAGCGTCAAGAATTTATTGGACAGACAGTTCTTACCTTGGGCTCCCCGGACCCCAATAGATTCTTCATTTAGCGCATGGTTGGTCGAACTTACATAGTTTTGGCAAACTGGGCAAGAGATTCAAAGTCAGCGTTGAACCATGTATGAAAGCAACACGAACCGTCATACAGCAAACAAGGCTGCCAAAAATAAATTTGCTATTCGGAGAGTTGATTCGTAGAAGGGTTTGCAATGAAAGGAATAGAGCTCACTCAATAAGGATCTCAGCTGAGTACTGTTGAACTCGAGACGAAACGTCGGTTATTTCTGGTCAAAAGCATGAAACGATACGTTACTTACGGTGGACAAAGTCGACGCCTCAAGGTCAGAGTGTGTCTGCTTAACCAACGGGAACAAGAATTGGAGAAAAGAGATAGGAATCATGACTGACCGAAGCCGAGAGACCAAGGAATCGGCAGCCTAAAACTTTGTGTTACAAGTTAGAATCATCGAAAGGGAATAATGACTACAGAAGGCGACGAACTTCGGTGCTGAAATTTGGAACCCAGATTCGATGATGCAAGTTCTGAGCGTCTCTTCAACGTGAGTTCAAACGGAACTGCCAACAATGTCAAATGTAAAGAGAATGGACTCCCGAACATGATCCAATGCTGGTTCGTCACAGATTTCACCAAGAACTGCATCTCAAGCGCCGATTCAGCGTCCAATGCCCTCCCAGAGCGAGTTGGGTGCCACGGCGAGTTCGCCGAGGCTCCTGCATGACGAAATATCGAGAAATATGTAAATATGTTAGCGCACATTTTTGCAAGGGAAATTCATGAATAGGTGAAGAAACACGCGTCACACACGCGTCCAATACAACTAGAAATCGTCATAGATCCTACGGCAAGGCGCCACGACAATCACTACTCCGTGGACGCGTTCCTCGACGCAAACCCAACACCAGTTGCCACCTATAGCGCCTATGGCAAAACGCAGCAGGTGGCTCACATGGGAGGAGGCGGTCGAGTGCAGCGTATTATTCGACGCGAGAGAAGGTATATATACGAACCTGGACATTCGGTTGCCACGGAGTTGTGGTTGCTGGAGCCTGGACTCGGAGGGGGGTGCGGAGGTTTGTGGCCAAATGTGTGCGATAGCACCGCCACACTCCCAATGATCCATGATCATTGATCATTGATCAACATCCTGCTCACAATTGTCTTCGTTCGACGTTTTCGATGCTTAAGTTCGGCTTCCGCTCGACGTGCCAACAGGATATGGAACCCAGCTTGACTTTGTCAAGATTCATGCCCTTTGTGACTCGTATCAGCCGTTGAAGAAGTCAGGTGGAGTCCAGGGGACTCGATACGCGACAATATGTACCTGCTGAATCTTTCGACGCAGACTTCTGCGACAAGCTCTTCTTCTTTATTCATAGCTGCGCGCTCTGGAATCTATCGTACTCATTTTGTGCGTATGAATATCGTCCTCCACTTCGCCGTTTACTGATCTTGTGTCTTCTTTACTAGCCATTATAATGGCCTGGCGACTGATAAGTAGTGAGGGGTTCTGGGAGAGGAATGTGTATGTTCAGTCTGGAACTTGTTAGTTGAGGGGGGAGAGTGGGGATGGACAGGGCAGAGGGTGTTGATCCGTTTTGTGAAGGGGTTGTTTTAGTGCGTTTTGTTTTTCTGTTTGGCGTGAGGTGGGTGCTGATGGGTGTTGCAGTAATAAAGCTATTAATATTGCGACGCAGGCGCACCCGCGAAATGAGGACAGGGTTGTTGCGGCGCAGCATCTCGTCAGGCCTATCCCGATGTCGCCTGGCGGCGCTGACATCCCCGAGGAAGAAGACAGCGGCGAGGCGCTAAACGCGTCTACTACCTGCGAATTCCGCTTCGCGCTCGGCACCCTCTGCGACGTTTGAAGAACCCAGGCATGGCATGTCTTCTGCATCAACTCCAACAACTCGTAGCCGCCGAATCAGGGGGCATGTTCGGAGTTGACACAGAGGAGCGTGGTGGTCATTGGGGTGGAAGGAAAGTGGGGGAGGTCTGGGAGCGGTATAAGGAGGCGTTGGCCAACTTGGAGGAGAGGGGGTGGCGTAAGGGAGTGGGAGGAAGAAGGAATCAGGCGAGGGCGACGTTTGGGTCTGGGAAGAAGGATGTTGTGATTGTGGTGCAGACAGTGTGTTGGTGTTTTTCAATTTTTTTTTGGTTTTTGCGGGGTTTTGCTGACCATCGAGTACAGGTTTATCTGCTGTATGCGGCGTTTCATCGGCTGGAGGATCCGCTTTCACCGTCGGGCGTGTCGACATTCAGCGAAGGTATACGTCTTCTTGACGTACATTCCACTCGTCCTGTCCATCATCATGGTGTCCGTTATCGGCCTAAAGTCCGTCAGTCCCGCCAGCCTTCGCGCTCCGGAAAATCATGACAAACATGCTCTCTGCCAGATCCCTCGTTATACTCAAGGCGACGCATCACTTCGATCTCTAATCAGCTCTTCCACGACTACTCGGAGAGCCGCGTCAATACCTGCACACGAAGGATCTCTTGCACCTCGGAGAGGATTGATACCTCACGACGCTTATCATGAAGCCCCTTCCCGGCCTTCGAAACGCAGTTTGTGCGCGACGCCTTCGCCTACACCGTCGCTCCAGACGACTGAAAGATTCTGTTGTCCCAACGTCGTCGCTGGATCAACTCGACGGTTCCCAGTCTCTGCGAGCTCATCTTCCTTATGCATTTATATGGTTTTTGTTGTTTCTCCATGCGTTTTGTTGTCATCATCGACTTGAGTTCGATCTTGCCGTAGCCTGTCACCGTCGCCTAGGTGGGTGTAAATGTCTATCGCTATTCATGCATACTCACCTTAATGCCAGATTGTCTGTTACACTTGGTTGCTTGTCTTGATCATCGACGTCTACCCTGAAAAATGTCCGTCTTCGTTTTGCACCGCAAGTGGGACATGATTGGGTGGATGCTCTTTTACATCATCGCTATTCCCGTCTTCTCCCTCTAGCTCCCACTAGTACATCCTGGTGCATGAAAGATTTCTCCCGGGGTTAAACCCGTGTTGTGTTTGGAGAGTGGGTAAGAAAATGATACGTGGCTTCATAGCAATGCTGAAAGTATTACGCTAAGCCAGCCTGAAGGACTTGACAGGTCCGAGGAGGTTGAGTCGTAGGCAGTGAACTACTAGGGTCAAAACGATTTCGGCTTTCAAACGCGCGCGATGTGCCACAAGCTGTACTTAGACGATTGCCCTCCTCTCTACTCGAATGGATGCTCAGGCCAGAAGGCGCATGAATCAAGCGAATGCTCAAAGGTTGTATTTAGTGACCTTTGCAATTCAGTTAACCACGATTACTCGGGTATGGTGTAAGGGGCAACATGGTTGAATGTTGCGTGTGCGCGCATTCAAAGGCTCGAGGTTCGATTCCTCGTACCCGGTGGCCATGGTTTTTACTCGATTCTCGACTCGGAGCTCTTTTATGATTCAGGATCGAGGCAAACTTGCCAAACCTACCACATTATATTTTTGCGCTTAGTTTACGCTTCAGTGATGGAGACTGAATCATCATCTTGTCTTTTTCGTCTTGTATTGTGACTTGAATTGGCAACTTGAAAGGTTCTTTGAATTGGCAAAGATTCTTTATTGCGAAAGACGCGTCACCACGCTGCCTGGGTTTAAAAAGCTGGGATTCAGACCACGGCAAGATATAGTACCCACCACACACAACTTCTTTGCAAGCAGGTAATGCGTCCAAAAAATCATTGTGCGGAATAGTTAACGATATATATTTCCCAAGTCGAAACCGACCGGGTCCCGTGTACCTAATGTCCAAATCATCATTCATCCTGTCCGAGATCGACGAAGATACCGTTCTTGTCGAAACCGGTACTGTTCCCTCGGCGCAGGATCCACTTGAGCTCGAAATCTCGCTGGCCAGTGTCAATCATCAGGTGAAGCATACTATTTTCTCTCCGGATCCTGCTCCGAAACATGAGATCTGACAAGTTCCTGCAGTCTCTTTCAACCATGTCTTATGCTGACATGCAAGAGGATCGTCTGGCTCTAGCGCGTTTCATCATCGCCCGTCTTTGTCTCCAATTAGAGGAGGCGCAGGATCACGAAAAAAAGCTATTACAGCAAATCCAGATTCTAAAGGTCGAGCTCAGTTTACGCACAGACGTGCTACAAATACCATCTTCGTAGTATGTACCATGTGGGGACGTTTGTGTACTTTTGTAATTGAGGGAGACTCGGAGCCTGGATTGTTTTCTCTCTATGGTTTCTCAGATGCCACTGCGAAGTAGTTAGCGGGGCAGATTTCCCCGATTTCACACAAATGCATTGGTTTGACTGGTGACAGGCTCTACTCTACAACCTCAGACGCATGTCTCCATGAGAGTTTCGATTAATTCTTGACACCGAAACGGGTTCATGTGAACCTACAAAACCCCCGCGCCGCCCTCAGCGTCCTCGCCGATGTTCTAACAGGGGCAGTTCAGGATTGGTGTTACACGATTCAATAGATGTGGTCTCACCTGAACTATACTTTGCATGAGACGTCGAAGGACTGCGAGTTCACTTTCCGTGAGTGAGGCGGACGACATTAGTCGTAAAGCTTTGCAGAGATTCCGAAGTCGATCGGATTGATCGGAGACCGAGAGGCATGTATTTGCGAGGCAAGTTTCCTCGTGAGCGACGGTGTCAGAGGCAAGTATTCTGTACGTATCGCCGGAGAGGCTCTCGCCGGAGAGGCTCATAGCTAACAGCAGTGGATCGAGGCGTGGTAAATCTCTGGATGATGATCGTGAAGTCAGCACCATTGCGTCCTTGCCAGGATCTTCCCAGGGTCTGCTGACTACCGACGAGTCTCAGTCAGCAACCCGGTGATGCTTGGCCGCTGGGACATAAATATCCTACATGTATCGTGTACCCACCAGGTCCCACCTACCTGCCATGGAGCTTGAAATTCCCCTATCGGACTCGAACAGCCAGCCAGAGGTCCTGGTTCGAGGACTTCCCGTACGGATTGTGTTATGCGCCAGTGTAAGTTCCTCCTCACAGAACTGTAGCCTGTATTGCTGAGATACAGACATTTTAGCCAGCGGATATACCAATGCCGGTAGTGCCTCGTAGTCTCGGCAATGCCCGTGCGAGCGGAAGGAAGAATTCATGCGTTCTTTGTATCGATGCAATTGGTGCTGGTGCTGGCCACAAGTCGATCACCAAATCCCCCAGAAGTTCAAGCTGTTGAAATGCGTTGAGATGTATTTTTTTATTCCTCGAAGGGTTCGAAGAATCTGGCTCATCGTCCCCCAGGATCCCGCGTGAGGTTGGTACTGTACTCATATCAAAGTAACTCAGATCCCATTATGAGCTAAAGTACAAAGCACATACTATTTTCATGTTTTGCCGAACTTGAACGAGTTCCGCAAAATCTAAGTTACGCAGGAGTAATGCAATATAGAAATACTCAACGAATGTCGCAATTTGTTTTCACGACCGGTTACGATAGTGCCCGAATGCGCCTGAGCCCCTTCGATAGTGCCCGACAATATTCCAGGATGATCTACATCCAAATTATTTCTGGTCTCCATCTTACCATCGGGCACTCTAAGGGTGCGTAATGTGTTATCGAGGGGACCCTCACCAAGCGAGAGGGGGCTCAAGAACTCATGGTCGAGATTAGGGTCGGCGCCGAGGATGTCGAGAACGATATGGGGCGTAGGACGGTCATTGCCCGAACCGAAAATCATACCGTCGCAGTTGTCATCCAGTAGCTGGCGCTTGTGAGAACATCGTATTGGAGCTACGCGAGGGAGTCGGTGGTGCAGCGAAGAGATGCGTCGCCTTGGGTATAACGAGAGAGCATGTTTGTCGCGATTTTCCGGAGCGCGAAGGCTGGCGGGACTGACAGACTCGAAGCCGATAATGGACACCATGATGATAGACAAGACGAATACGATGTACGTCAAAGGGGCGCACTTCGCCGAATGTCGACACGCCCGACGGTGACGAGGTTCCGTGCTGGGTGTCGACGTTGGGTGCATTCTCGCCAGCTGCCGCCTTCATAGCGCGGGTTTTGGATGTAGCCGGTGAGATCGCAGACCAGACCGTAGTACTAGTAGATAGCGATCGAGCTATTCTGTGAGCGAATTTCCTATGGTGTAATTCCAAGGAAATTCCTCGTCGCACCTTCCACCGTATCTACACCATACTCTCGAAGCACCAATCCGGACGCGTGTCGTTGGTGGAGAACCGGAAATCGTGATGCTGCTCGTTCTTGTCGGTGTTGTTGGAAGTGTAAAGGTGAGATACTTATGATCATTGTTATTGCGGGCTAACGCCATGGCCCACTCCATTGCAAAGTGTGCTGACCTGAGAAAAATGTCAGCGGCAAGACACCAGACGCATGATGTGTCACGAATCGTCTTCGGAGGTATTACAGGGACAGTAGGCGTCCCCGCCTCATACGGCGCATTTGGATCCGCCGCCGCAACGCTCCCCACAACAACCCGATTCTGCTTCTGCTCCTCAACATCGCGAGCGCCGCGGGTCCTGTGGGCCGGTGAAATGTGAGACATAAACCTGTACTCGATCGTCAGCAAAACCCCGCAGAAACAGATATCGAGATAACAAGACATAACTTGCCTTTGAATTTTGCGTCAACCCAGCAGCAGTTTGGCTAGCCCAACGCCGAGCACGACAGGCGACTCTTTCGAAGTGTATCGAGGCCCTACTTCCACACTCTGCGAAAACATATTGATTTCGATAGAACGTAGTCGGTCACACATGACCATCAAGTCAAATTTAAACTTGAGCTTAAAAGCTGCAGCAACTTGATTGCAATGCTCTGCGAAAGAGGGCAAGTAATTCTGAATACGGCGGGCGCAAAATACAGTTCCGAGACACGCACTTTCACAATAAGACAGCACGACCCCAAACCCCAACAGGCCCTTCTGGCGGACGCCGGATATCGACTTCCTGAGAATGCCCTCCAACGTTGAGTTGTTTTTGAAGTTCTGCGTACGACATCGTACGCGCTCAACGCATATGAAGAGGACGCGTTGAGGCGTTGAAACGACATAAGTACTCCGCTCTCAAGCAGCCAGCCTTCCTGATGGTCTGAGTAATATCGGTGCGTCAGTTCTTGTTTCTGTGTAGATGCAAAAACAGGAATCAAATGATGGAAGGAACCGCACAAACCTCGTTGTTCTCCCGCTCTTCCTCACTTCCTCAGATCCACGACGAATTCCCGGAACAACTACGCGGATGTTCAGTCGGCATGTTTTCCTGGAGCACGCCGACGGCAAAGACACCGATTAATGAGACCAGTGGTGGGCGAGCACGTCTCCTGAAGGAATGTCAGCTATCGATTGGACAACATGGGAGCAGCCTCTGCCTCCTCCCCTCATCCATATAGTCAAAAATTCACCGTCATCCGAAGCAGCTCGCCGGCGGCGGCCGAGCATTCGCGCTTCACCAGCTTCTCCTCGATATATCCTTCGGTAACTCGTCATCACTGGGGAAGTTGTCAGTCAGCGAGCGCGCGACCTCGGCGTCGTCAAGCGCAGCCAAGAGCTGTTTGTATGCTCTTGGGGGTCGAATGCAAAGGTGTATATACCAGCAGGAAGGCGGCCGCGAGCCGGCCCTCGCGTTTGTCGGCGAAACTGTGTTGTAGAGACGCATGGGGGGTGAGTGTGGATTGGAGGTGAGGTTGCTCCAGTAGTCCTCTGGATGTTGTGAGTTAGAATTAGAACGAGAGCTTGCAAGGGAACACGTACCGGAAAACACGAACACAAACACGTCGAATACGTCCACCCTACTCCCCACAAGCGAAAGAAGCGCTTCAACAACCGCCTCCATGGGTCCGACGACAATCAGATAGCGTTGGGAAAGTGTTGAGACCATCCATGATTTTGCCTTCTTCTGTTCAGGGGAGCTCTTCCACCGGCTCCACGAGCACGAGCTCGAACAAGGCAGCACCCATCTGCCTGCACCGATCTGGACAGCGAGCTCATTGCGCGAGTTGCTCGTGCTGGGCCACAAAGAGATGTCATGAGTGTTCGAGGCGCGGTGTCAATACAGAGGCGTCGACGAGTTTGCGCGTGACCGCGTCACTGCGTTGCGCAATTGCGCGTACTACGTATACTTAGTGTGAGAACTGAGGGGAGGGTCACGGTGGTGAGGGGGACGCACATACCTCGAATGTCAACAACTCTCTGCAACGATCCAGAGCTGAACTGTTTCGTAGAAAAAGTTCTTGTTCTTTGCGACAAAAGTACGAGCCATTCCAGAATAGGACATTGAACACAGACGCGACCATATCGCCTTCGTCAACGCTTCTGGACGAGATGAAGTTCGTTGGAACCTCCGGCTGCTGTTTAGCTTTGCTTTCGAGCCCTAATCAATGAAGGGTAATTATAGGGCCTAAGGTGCAA